TGTGAAGATAAGTCCTTCTTCACAGCAGTTTCACTGCATTACTGGAAGGGTCCACTTTTGGGTCAAGCTGGTCAAGTAACTTGAAAAAAAAAACCCCGCTAAGAATCCCAAACGCAACATGTATCTGTAATGCTTTGCTGATAAGGAAAAGGAAGCCTGGATGATTAGACATCAGTTTGGGAGCTGCTGCTGAAAAATCCATGCTGATTGACAACACACAGGTAAGAAAAAGAAAAAAATGCCAAAACAACAACAACAACAAGCCAACCACAAAAAGAGGCTTGGGCTACCAGCCAGCTCAGCCAATGAGTTAACAGCAGAATGTTGGGAAGTATATTCTGGAGGAACATTTCACTATTATTTTGCAGCAACTCCAACAAGGTGGGCACCTGACTCTAGCTGGTAACATCTGTGGACAGATGCTCAGTCAGTGTTGGCAGGATACCTGCAGCACACAACTGTGCCGGATGTATCAGTGACACTATCCAGAAGTACCTTTAGGATAAATGCTTGTAAGCCCTTCTGTTTTCAGAATCATTGTTGGTAACAAAATACCACTTCTCCCATTAAGAACATACAGGCTGAACATTGACTTTCCTTCTGTATTTCAGGCCTTCCTGCATTAAGCAAGAGATAGTGCCATCTTCTTCCCACAACCACAAACACTTTTGTGATAATCTTTCTGTAGTCAGTAGTTTATTTGTAAACTTCAAGGTGGTACAAGTAATGAGAAAATACGACTTTGCCATGTCAGTAAAGTTCTTCTAGTATACATATTTAATCCCTATGACCTCTTCCTCTTTGATTTCTTATCAAATAACACCTTAGGTACTAGGTTCCTGATTGGTAGTTAAAGAGAGACCTTGGAGCCTTGCTGCAGACAATTTTAAGGGGATGTTGTATTTCAGTCCATGGTCACAGAATCCCTGACAAGTCTAGGATACATGTCAACAAGATACTATTTTGAAGGGTGCAAAGAACACTGTTGGCACAAGCAACAGCGGTCAAGACACGTGAGTCTATTCCCAACCCAAAATGGTCTTGTTGGTCAAGGGCTAAGCATGTATAAAGCATCTGCTCTCTTCCTTCCACTATCAGAATTACAACTTCACTCTGAAGCATAGACAAGTTTATATTGCTTCCTCTACATGCAAGACTGTAGTCCACATATCCTCCGAATGTAACAATCAAATTAATCCTGAAAATATCACACAATTATCACCTTGCTATTTAACTAGGTACAGATTTTAAGAAGCTATGGATTTAACTTTGCTAAATAAAACATATTCACAGTAGCCTTCTCCTGTTTTTGCTCACTGGAGAATGGCATGCATGCTACCCAAAACTGAACTTGTGTTTGCTGCGAGAAAATAAAAACAACACTGTAACCCTAAATGTTTCAACAGGATTTTGGTCTAAAATTTCATATTCAAGGCAAGTCTCACACTTTGGGATAAGGAGCGTTGACCACTAACACCCCTTGCACTCAGAAGTACAGCTGAGATGACAGCGACAACTGCAACATACCCAGCTAGATGGCCTGAATCTTCAACTAAAATTTGCTTTTTCTGGAAGAACTGTTTGGTTACAGATTATGAATCGGGGTGGGGGGGCACCCAAAACTGAACCTTTGCAACTGGCATTTTTAATCAGAATTTTGCCTGTTTATGATTTTAGAAAGAAGACTAAACTGAATCTAATATGGAATTTTTATTTTAATTTAAAATTTGAAGCATTATGAACAACTTTTGTAATCTGAGTTACAACATTTAGCCATGCAAATAGGCAGAACAGTATCTACACTGTTACACTGAGGAAAATATTTCAGCTTCATACGTACTGAAAATAGACGTATCAGCACCAAAGGCAACGTAGTTTATATTCAAACAGCAAAATAAAGAACACATTTTATAATTAGCAAGTTTTTCCTGTATTTAACTTTCTTTTTCTTGAAACTTACATCAACACAAGTGAATTTAAGGGTTTTTCTTAAGAACAGCTAGAGTTGCCACAGTAATATATTAAAATCTTAATCACTCTCTGCTATTTATATCCAGAAGATTATAAACACTTTAGTTACATCAATATTGCACACTGGAGCTCAGATATTTCTGTATTATGTTAGTAGAGACCATATAGTATTGGAGCCAGAGGCACCACAGCTGCTCGGGCAAATGAGCCCTGCTCTCACAGCACCTCTGGGAAAACAAACGCTGTCATGTCCCAGCTCGGATTGAGCAAAGCTCTAGAACCTCCATCCCACTTGCAGATGTAAAGCAGATATGGAGTTATTAATATTTAATTTAGAACCCTATGTTCTGCATGTTTACTTTCTAGTATCAAATGGTTCCGGTGCTGTTACAAAATCTAAGGTCCTAAATCAATACCACTTATTTAGAGCGCTAAAATTGAAAATATGATAACTTTAGGGGAGGAAGGAAGGTTTTCATTTCTTATGTCTGTAAAATTCAGAAATGAACTGAATGCAAATCACTGAAGTTACACATAAGCCTCCAACCACTGAGCTACCAGCCAGGACTTCAGATCACCTCTTTCCGTCTCATATGGGGGAAAATTGTACCTAAGGGGAAACACCAACCAGTATTTTGACAGCGGAGAATATTAGCAGAAAAACTCAAACATGCATGCTGCACTCAGGTAAGGTGCACAACTGAGTAAGGCCAATTCTTGCTTCAGCAGGGAAAAGCAGTTGTAACTACTGCTGTGTAAGAACTAAATCTACACGGCATAAACCAGCACTTCACAAATATCTGATCCAACCAAGTAAATTGACCCGGATAATAGGCACGTTAAATAGGCCAGATAGAGTACTGAGCTGATGCAGATAAGCTCCTTTCAGTATTTAAGTTGGCTCATTCTTGGCTTGGTTTCTTTGCATGGTCTAGCATTGCCATATACCCAGAAAAAAACATGCAAATAGAAGCTTTAAAATTATATATTATTTAGCATGCTTAAGCACACTTTAATAAAAATCTTACTACTTGGGTAGTAAGGCTGAAAGCCTTTTACATTGTGCAAGCAACCACACAGACAGATTAGTGTGTAGAAAGTTGATTCTCCACTAGTTTTTTAAATAAATAACAGAAAAAATGCAGTGATCTTTGGCAGCTTTTTTTCAAAAGCTGTTGAACCGACACTGACTTTTCATTAAAATGTGAACAACAAAAAACTTAGCTGAGAATGTGTATTATTTCATCCTCTATCTTCATGGATTAGGTTTTTTAAGGCTATAATGAATGAATCTTTGTTTCTGTTAAATAGAATGAGGCATAAGGAAGAAGATCAATAAACAAAGTACTCTTTTGGAGTAACAGTTCAAAAAGATCTCAGACACAACTTTCGGTTTTGCCCTCAGACTATGGCCTTACCATATACAGAACCATAGAACAGCTCAAGTTGGAAGGATCACCCAAACCCAACTCCCCGCTCCTTGGACTACCTAAAACTCAACCATATGACTAAGAGCATAGTCCAGACACTCCTTGAACTCTGACAGGCTTTGTGCTGTGACCCTGGGGAGCCTGCACCAGTGACTGACCTCTCTCTCAGTGAAGAGTCTCTTCCCAGTGTCCAATCTGAACTCCTCCTCATGCAGCTTCATTCCATTTCCGTGTGTCCTGTCGTGGGTCAGCAAAGAGGGATCAGCAGCTACCTCTCAGGTACCCCCTTGGTGAAGTTGTAGACCATGACGAGGTCACTCCTCAGCCTTTTCTCCCCCAAGCTGAACAAGACAAGTGACCTCAGTTGCTCAGGGCAAGTAAGTCTTGGCCTTGAGACCTTTCACCATCCTGGTCTGCCTCCTAATGACACTAATAGTTTGATGTCCTTCTTATATTGGTGTGACCAAAACTGTACACAGTACTTGAGGTGGGGCCACACCGGTGAAGTCTAGAGAGGTGACAACCAACTCCCTTGACCGGGTAGCGATGCTGTGCTTGATGCAACCCAGGACATGGTTGACCTTTTTGGCTTCCAAGGCACACTGTTACCTCATATTCAACTTGCTATCAACCCAAATGGCCAGATCTCTTTCTGCAGGGCTGCTCTCCAGCCTCTTGTCCCCCACTTTGTATGCTGAACCAGGAAACACAATATATTTCCCAGCTGTGTGCAGCACACATGCAACTGCAGATGAAACTTACCTTGGGTGGCTCACCTGGCATCCATTACTTTAGACCTCATCTGAGTTGTTACTAGGGCAAGCAATGAGTTTCAGTCCAGCAAATCAGCTGGTACAGGGTTAAGAAAGTCTACAGTAAACCCCCCTCCCTGCCTCATCACCGTAGAAATAACCTCAGAATCAAGAAAAATAGTCCCTCTTTCCCCATAGCACGTAGCACAGGAACTTTCAGGAAACACAGCCAGCCCCACCAATACTGCTTTAGCAAGTTTATGACTTGATACTAAACATATACAGAATTAGTAATAAATTTACACAGTAATCTTAATGAACTAGAATTTGAACATTTTGTCTGCATTTTCCTGTGGAAACTGCAACACATTTAAAAAAAAAAAAATGAGGCCTTCCAGGTCTTAAAGCTTGTACTATTAATTTTTATGGCACTAGCTAAAAAATGAATGTAACTGCTGGATACCAACTACATTCATGTGAATATTACCGTACATTTCATAGTAACAGCCACTTCTGATGTCACATTTTCATGTTAGAGTTACAGCAAATTCAGCATTTGCCCTAGATTGTTTAAAGAGTACAAAACTAAACAAGGCTACCCAAAGGCTTATCTCCACTGCACCACAGGTCTGAATACTGACTCTACACGGACTACACAGCAGCACCCTAAAGTCTGTGAGCAACACCTGCTCACACAAGTTGAAAATGGACCTCACACAAAAAGTTGACTCAGTAGTTGCAATCAATAGTCTTAACAGCAAAAAGATGTTGCAGTACAATGTTTTACAAGATTACATTAACATCCTTAAAATCTACAATGTTGAAGTATCACGCTAAATGCTAGGAACACTGTAAACAGTTTTTATTTGTTCAATTACATAAAACACATTAATTCAGTTTAAAAAAAGTCTCAAGACAAAAGGCAGTAGTTTGGCTTTTTATTTGTAAAGCATAAAGCATCTCCTCAACTAAAATCAAGTTCGAACAACTCTGAGGAGTCCACAGAGGCTATGCTTACTTACAGTTTAATATCAGCAAAAAAAATCTGTTAACATTCCAGATTACTGTAGAAAAAGTGTATACCACACTTATGGCATACAAGATTTGTAACAAGCAAAAAATACCCTGTTTTAAAAGTAATCTCCCTTCCAAATAGATTTTCATTTTAGTGCACTCTCCGTAGGCTTTACATTTAGAATCCTCTATATACAAAAAAGTACAACAAATTGGTACAGTGTTTATTGCAACAAATTAAGAATGCCATAATATACACAAATTAAATTAGCCCCCACAACTTGCATACTCGCTTGCTTCTTATTCCTCCCATGAAGCAGTCTCCTTCTCTGGTTCTAAGATTAAGTTCTTTCACTGAAAGGCACGTACTTCTCTACAACAGAAGAAACAGATGCATTAATCGGAAATGCCCTGTTTCAAGAGGAACTTTATCCTACATTTTTGAAGGTCAAACATTATGAAAAAAACCACAGAGATGTAACATTTTATTATTCAATTTGCCTGTAAAAACACATAATTACCCTATTACCGTGAAGCGAAGTGCCATAAAACTCCATTCATTTAAACCTCCCAAATAGCGGCAGCTCACTTATAAAAAAAACCTGGTTTTTTAGCATGCTGGATATATTTTTAAACTTCCAAGGCTCCTGAGCTCCTGTTCAAACTTTGGTAACTCTTGGCAGCATTCCATAACTGGAATGCTATCAAAAATAGGATAAGTGCTTTTCCTTGTGTGCTGCAGTGTAGCAAGTAGCTTGTGTGTAAAAGTGATCTAATGAGGATTGTAAACTATGAGTGTGATATACCTTTGAAAAGTAAAGATGTGATATTATGGTACTGTACTTCAGTTGACGTGTAGATGAAGTTGCATGGTGAGAAACCAAAGGTTAGAATTCCAAGCTTTGACACGTAATAGTACCCTATTGAACAAAATGGCTAAAACATCCTCTTCAGGTAAACTGCCCCAAACTGAAGAGGCACAGAGACTAGCTACACGTGTGATGACTAAAGTGGGAATACACTTAAATTGCATCCATGTTACAACAGAGGGCACTGTGGACTTTTTTTCATACAGCTCTGAAAGAAAAGCAACATGTGAAGTAGTAGCTGTATCAGCACACCAGTACACTAACACGCTAGTTTCCCTGCCTGGACTTGCAAAGAGTCAAACAGACTTATCAGCTAACCCAAAGCAAGCTTACAGGGATTTCCAACATATGCATACTGTGCTGTAGAGTACCAACTTTAAAATAGCTTGATTCTTTTAGTCAAGAAAAATGAAAGCAGAGAGGGTACCACTGCAGTCTATTAACAGTTCATAATGCAGCAGCAAAAAAAAAACATATAAGCATATAGAACAATACTTACATATTCGTTGTCTATAACAAATATGTATTTGCTATACACCAGAACATGTAGATTAGAATTTCCAGTGACTGCATGTAGTTTTTTACTGCCTTCCATTATGAGGGCAAGAAACTTATCAACTGAATAAGCTGATTGTTCACTGTAGCTAAGCATAACTGCAACTGTGATTTACTTAATAAAAGACTAAGCTCAACAAAAGACTAAACTCAAAAAACATTAAAGGGGCCTCTCTTCCTTGTTCCAATTAGTTGTGCCAAGCCTAATTGCATATTTATGCTACCTTAAAAAATTCCAACCAACCATACCTCTGAATTACTGCGTCAGGACAAAGCGTAATGACATCTCCTGAGAATATCTGAGTATCATTAACATCAAGCTGTCCTCAGCGACTCTGATTACTTATACATTTTGTGCTCTCTTTGGTCATTCTTGGTTAAGCGGTGACATGAAGACTGATTACTGAGCTTCAATGCAGATGCAAAAGACTTCGTTGAAACAAGTACATCTCCAATTAAAGATTTTTTTTTTTTTGGAGTACTCTACATTAGCTTTCAAACTTGCCTCTCAGCAATGCTGTTGGCTTTGCAAAGTTTGGACAGCGTTTTATCAAGTTGTTCAATAGAGATTTGTGAAGTACATTCACACTGTTCAGCACTGTTTTCCTACTACACACAAACACTGCTTCAAGACAAAAAAGTAACCCTTTTTTTTTTTGCAAGAGCTTTGCCTCATAAAGAAGACAGCAAACTCTGAATATACGTAAACAGAGTGTATTCACATTATTGACTAAACATAACTGAAGCCCTTGTTTTCTCAAGCTCCCAATGTCAAAATAATGACTTTGATAATTTAAACACTTACTTTTGAGCTATCTTGAAACAACAGTAACATCTCCTTTATTATTTATAACTGCTCATTTCTGAAGGTATTACTTCTGATCTGTTTAGTCAGTTTTCCTTAGTAAGTTAACAGAAACGTGTTGAAATTAAATTCGGCCAGATCACTCAGTTACTCCAATACAATTACTTTTCTTGCAGTTTGACCGAGAGGTTGACAGTATTATTTCTTCAAATTTTATGACATTTTGTAGCCCCAGAGGTCAGAAATAAAGGTAGGTTTATGTCAAAAGTTACATCACTCTATTTATTTACTCCAAACTATGACTTGTTCAAACATTACATGCCACTTCCCTTTCCACTTTTTCTGGGCTCTTTGCACTTTGATCAGAACATCAGGTATTGCTTTCTCAGCTGAACCTGAAGCTTTTAAAAATCAAATACTACTTGTCTAGCAGAAGTTCTTTCATCAACAACAGTGTGTGAGGAACTCTATCTATTAAAATAACCAACTGATTTATCTTACAATAGCTATGCCATCAGCTAAATGAAAGACTACTATATATTCAAACTGTTTGTACCATATGTTATCCAAAGGACTACTTTAAAAACGGTCCGGATCAGTAATCTATTTTCAAATACTTCCAAATTGATAAATTATATGATGATTTGCTGCAGTACTTCAATTTAAAGAGGGTCTGAGTATTTGGAAATTAGAATAAGGAGGTTTTTTGGTGGTGTGTTTTTTTTCCCCCCAACTACAGCACTAATAATGTGAATTTTTTTTTTTAACTTGTCACAGTTAAGGGCAAGTGCAGTTCCAAGCCTGCTGTCTGTAGTTATAAATAGTTTGCTTTAATGCAAGTTAATTTCTTAACTATAAACTTAATTTATTTCAACCACAGAACCATAGAAAGCAGTAGTTACAAAAGCTTTAATTTAGGACATCAATTCACAGAATCCGTATTGGGACTAGAGGGAGGGCAATCCTTAAGACAAGCACTGAGCATGAGTTTCCAAGATCAATTTTAAAGGGGAATGCTCTACTTGATTGAATAACCATGATAGAAATACACAGGATCCTTGGAACAGCCCTATTTAGACTTTAGAAGTTATCGGATTTGTCTCTTTAGATTGACAGGCAGTCATCAAGTATGTATCTCCAGCATCTCCCTACCATGTTTGTGTGGCAAAAAGGGAAAGAAAAATAAGGATCTCAGCCTAAACCCTGCTTTCACTTTCGTTTTGTCCTTATACATCCTGTCAGGGACAAGAACGAAATACGCAAGAATGAAAGAACTGAAGTAGGTAAACCAGACAAGAACAGTATCTATCTGCTTTACATACTTTGATTACTCCATGAGCCACTGCAAGACTATGGCTGTGAAATGGAATTAAGTACTGCGCATGTTAGCTACTTCAACAATAGGATACTTGAATGAAAATTTTTCTCCCTCAAGTGTTTAAAAATGTACAGGGACAAAAAAAAATATTTCAGAAATCTGCCCTCTGAAACCTCTGATATTATTTTAGTGAACCTTCCCTCCAGGGTTTTCATTGCTTCTAATTTAAGGTATGCAGAGAAGTTTAAAGAAACAGGCACAATCACTTGGACACTTTGGGGTAGTTTTGTAACTTCAGACTTCAAAAATACAACCTTGCTTATCTTAATGTACAGAAAGCTTCAAGTTAGGAATTTTAGATTTATCTGTAGAATGTGAATTAAATTTAGACAGCAACCTACTAAGGTAAAAGAGTAGGGTTAACAGACACATGCTGCCATTTCAGTGTCTGGAAATAATAATCCCCATAAAATATAATATAATCCCCCTAAAAATTCCATATTAGGTAAACTGGAAGTTACTACAAGCATTCAAAAAAAATACAATACCTATCTACATGCATAACACACATATATTTCAATACCACTTACCAACACAGCCTCCTCTGCACTAGAAGACACAGTGCATATACCTATTTAACATATTAATAATGTAGTACCTTTAGAAAAAATATTGCTTTTGAAATATAATCAGCTCTTTGAAGCTTAAGAACAAATACAACCATGCTTAATCTACAAACAGCATACAAGAGTACGAAGTAACCTCTATAATATGAATACAACAATATTGTTGTTAATTGTATAATACTGTTTGTTAACGAGAGGCAGCCATGTTATCATGTTCATTTTTAGTAAAAAAGTTACTTGATATTCCTGTAAATAAACACTTACAAAGAATATCATGTTAACTGGTCATCAAATACCTCAAAGCCTAAGTTCTGAGTTACAAGAGAAGTTAAAAGTTCTAGGAAAGACATAAAGGGAATTCCTGGATATTATATGACAGTTTCCTGTTACATAATAGGCATAATTTATATTGGAACAACACTAGTAACATGGGAGTAACTCTAAGCACCTCATGGCTCTCTAACACAGAGCAGTGCAGACACTCCAACTAGTTTCTTCTAACCTATGGGGGAGAGAGAAAGGAAAGAGCGACTTTGATTTATGAAAAAAAAATTATCTGAAAGATTGCTTCTAAGGAGACAAAGTATGACTGAATCTTTCGCTTCGAGTTCCAGAACTGCATCAAAAATTGTTTCCTGATAAACAGCAGAACATCTGACTTAGTACTCCAACACTTTTATTTAATTTAAAACAGCATGTATTGCATTTGTTGGACTGTTTTGTTTGAGACTTTGATTCAGTTTCACATTAAGTAGTACTGAATCAATTACTCTCTGGGACTGGCAGAATTCATCATTTTATCTCTTCTGATAGCTGACAATAGTCCTCAATATGACAGTTCTATCAAATTTTTTACTATGTCTTTGCATGGGCAATGTAATAGCATCACTCAGTAAGGAAAAAAAAAATTGCTTGCATTGTGTAAGTTAAAGTTTGAATTGATCATAATGTTTAAGTGTAAGAATAATAATGAAATATAACAAAGTTTTCCTCTATCTACAAAGTTTCGAAGAGTGACTTCAGAATATGAACCTTTCTATGCAGCAGTACCAAATCTAAAACTTGGTGCAGGGTCAGACTGCTGATTTAGCAATGAGAAAGCAGAATGAAGCTTCTGAAAGCAGAATTCATAGAAGAGAATACACAGGAAGAATTGAGCAGTCTCCAAAATAAAAGTATTAAAAAAAAAAGAAAAGAGAAAGGTAAAAGCTAGTTCTTGACTTTAACATAAGCTTCAATAATTACACTGTATTTGTAACAAAAATATCATACCTTCCTCTCCATTTCTCTGGAACTCACATGCTGAAGAAGTTTATCTTCTTGCCCACTAAATTCTTGCCCATTTAAAATTCAAGTGATCTTGACATCCCTTCTCCAAGTACATGCATATGAAACACAGTAGTGAGCTTTCTCAGTGACACTGCTTTTCATCCACACTCCTTCACTTCTATTGCTAGAAGTAAGTTTGGCTTCTATATACAAACCTTCGAGGATGATTGGCATCAAATAGTGTTGTATCATCATCATCATCATCTTGCTCTAATGGAGTCAGCTCCATGTTTTCTATGTTTGTATCCAAAACTCCGTATCTTCGGGTTTTTCTGTTTCGCCTTCTGAGCCTGAAACGTATTTTAAAACATTTAAGTTTCATAAATATTTCTCTGTTTTCTAGTCCATCAATGGACCAGATAAAAATGCTATGCTATTTTGAAAGCATAGCAAAAACCTATGCTTTAAAATACAGCTATATTGATACTTATCATAATAAGTTTTTTTAAAATTTATATGTAAGTGTACGCACTTAGCTCAATGTAATTAAGAGGTCAGACTGTGTCAACAGTTTACGTGAAATGACTACAGCCGATAAAAATGTAATCTGTGGTTTTGAACTGAATTATTGCAGTGAATACAAAAAGCCTATACAGGCACTTGGTAGCCTAATGCATGAGTTATGTGAAAATACATGAAAAGCATACTTCTATCAGATCCCACAATGAGAAAAAAAATGTCCTGCTACGTATTCTCAATGTGTTTTATATATCTCTACAGAACAGCAGATCAACTCAAACTCAACAATGACAGAGCAAAGATGTAACATGAGTCATAGGTGTCATCAAACCCTTTTATTATAATTTGTGACATCCTTTGTAGCTACCAAGTTAAAAAACATTGTTTATAATTACACTTTGGAATAAGAGAGAACTTGTAGAGTCAATGTCTTGCATGCTTCACAAAATGCGGAAGGAAGAGGCAGTGATGCACATTTCAGGATTAGGGCACAGTACTTATCGCAGATGAACAGACTGCATCTGCTTTTGTCGCTTCCCATGGCTTCTCTGTGTGGGCCTGGGCCCCATGTAAGCCCCACACACACTGAATAGTTCTGTTTGGCTTTGCAGAACTACTTCTACACACGTCGAATATGCCTTGCTCAAGTCTTTGAGGATGAGGACCTCAGATCACTGGCCACTCAGCAACGCTGTGCAATGGCATTTGTCTACAGAATATTGACGGTCGCTTTCAGCCACTGTATACTAGCAAACAGCAGCTGCATGAAAGCTATTTGACAAAAAAAAAAAATCTACAAAAAAATCTGCTTTCTAGTCATTTAGTGATGAACTCAAAGGTGATAGTAGCCCTTCATTTAGAAACTCCAGAATTTACAAACCCAAGCTAAGTGCTTAGGAAAAGTATTTACAACATTCAGGAACTTTAATACTGGATACTTCCGAGCTAATAATCACAAAGATTAGTTATGTATAATGTACTACACTACTATAGTAGGTACTATCATACTATGTCTAAGATATTATACTGCTGTTATACTGTGCATTATACCTCTCTGCCCCACACTAACATACCACTTTAACCACCTTGTAAGAATGAGTAAATACAATATGAAGACTCTCAGCTTCAGATTCTGACCTGAACTCCGGTATGCTTAAATAATTTTCAAAAATATGCTTCTTGGAAAAGCATTCACCTTTTCACACCAAGACAAATTTGAAAGAACACACAGCAGCATCCAGTCTTGGTTTAGACTACACCCCAGTGAATCAGACCTCCTTTTGGAACTGAGAAGCAAATGTAACCTCATTACAATGTATAAAATACAGACTTTTCTTCAAAGTGCTCCAACTTCTGATATTATAAAAAAAGAAATAATCGGCACAATCATTTCCTCCACCCTCAACTATGATTTGAAACAGTAGCAACTGTTATGCCAGGCATTTAAGTGCTTTAGCACAACTCAAAGTACCTAACTTTATTGTTAGGCACAATTGTATTAGCTAAGGCTAATAACAAAGACATAAATTTCACCTTTCAGTTCAAGACAAACTTCCTTCCACTTTCTTCTTTCTATGATGAGGACCTAAAGGCCAGATGAAATGAAGGAAGCTGTATACGTCAAAGCACCAAGTAGAAGAAAATTCAAAAACTTTAAGATAAAAGCATGATGAAAAATATATTTTATTCTCTATATATATAATTTAATAAATACTGCATCTTTGTTTTATTTTTACTAAAGCAGAAGCTAGCCAATTGGCACCAGGATAAGCACTCCAGATATTCTAACAGACTACAAATTATTTTGAACACAAATAAAATAGGAAATGAGGGAGAGGTAGTTCATACTATTTTTGTAGTTTCTGTCAATCTCTCTCTATGCTTTACTTTTTATACTTAGTGGGGTAAAAAGAAAGTGAGTCAAGAATAATCAAAGAGTCATAGCAAATGTCCCAACTGCAGATACTGAAAAAAAATCTTATCACAAGGCTGCCACAAATTTCTAGATTCAAACAAATGCTGTTGAAAAAGGGACAAAAGAATTACTTGTGGCATGAAAACTTTCTCTAGATACAGATTAGTCAAAAGACTAAACCTAAAAGAATACTGGAGACGCAACATGCATGTACAGTCATAACTATGACACTAGATAGAGCAGTGTGATGAGTGTTAACAAAAACTAACTTAAAATCTTTTAACCTGTGACTGTTGGGAAGAAAGCCTAGGACAAAATCCCAATTTCAATGAAGTCAGTAGAGCTCTCTATGCTTCTCACAAACTTAACATGGTTAATTTTTATCTTTGTAGTTACTACAGCTACCTTGGGGTCTAATAAGATAAAGTTATGAAAACGGATTTAAAAGTACATAAAAAGTTAATGTTATACTCCTACAAGCTCAGTCCTAATCCTTCCTCAAATACAGCTAACAGCAATAGAGGAATCCACAAGAAAATATGAACTGATATTATCTGACTAACATCAGAGATGCCATAGATGAGAGAGCATTAAACCAAGAACAGACCTAAACAAAAAACCTAAGAAATGTTGGTGAAAAAAAAAATAAAGAAAAAAAAAAAGCAGAAAGTATGTTAAGAGAATGAGAATTGCAGCAAAACAACAGGTCAAGTCTAAAGAACATCCAGTGCCTACAGAAACATAAAACTGCAAGGGACTTGGCAGTGTGGGAAGAGTTAAAAAGCCCTGCACAGTTAAGTGAAAAAAAAGTCACTACGTTACATGTGACCTCCTTTTGTGGGAGACACAATTTCAAACCTGACTGCTGACAGAAAACTCAAAATCTCAGTCACCTCAAGTAGTTAAAATGTTAGCTTAGACCCCAGAACTTCTTTGTACAAAAAGGTATTCTCATTTGTTTTTTGAATGCTCATCTGGTCTGTCAAATACAAATCCCTGTGAACACATCTACACCAAGCAGTGGCAGAAGAATCAATAATAACCAAAAAGCAACCAAAAGGGCAAGGTACCTTTCTATGAAAGGATTTTGTGTGCAAGACCTCCAGTCCAAGGGACTCTAGAAAAGACAAAGACTTCTACAGTAAAAACTTTTTTCACCAGTGTGACTGGAGAAAACAAAAAAAAAAGTAACAGCATCAACAAAAAAAAATAATAATACTTTCCTGTCATGAGAGTGGTAACACACATGAACATGATGCCCAGAGAATCTGCATCATTAGAGAAACTCAACTGGACAAGTGCTGAGCAACCTGCTTTAGGTGACCCTACCTTGAGCAGGAAATTGGACTAGAGAATCTCAAGCACTGCCTGCCAGCCTCTACCACTGTGTCAGCTTCAGTTACGGCAACTATTGACAATACCTCCCAAAATAATCTTCTTAGTGTACGAGGAGAAGGAGAGGTGCAAGCACCTCACCCTTTATCATCAGAAGGTTAAAACAACAAGTCCCCATCTAAAGCTAGAAAAGAAATTAAGATTTATTTGGTTTTTCCTGACAGAGAAATTGCATAATCAGCAGTATCACTTAAGAAGGCTGATGGGAGACTGCTATAGTTTACATGACCACTCCCAACCCAAATTCATAGCCTGCATGTAGCAAAGCGTTAGCCACATTGGAAAAGTTTTAGCAGCTTGCATAAGATTTTCTTGAAAATGTATTTCCAGGGCACCACTTCAAAGAAAGTCACATGACTGAAATCAGAAAAATCATACCTTTATCAGAATGTATAAACTTGATAAAAGAAGACATTGCGACCTTTCTGAATCAAGCAAAGCTTTGGCTAAAGGTATCTCAACAGAGAACAGTTGCACTGTCTGGGTAAAATCTTTATCAGAACATGAAAAACATTATTTTTAATATTAAAATTACAGATCTTTCCTCTGAACAGATGAAATTGAAGGGTGTGTATAGATTAAATTAGACTAGCCTAGAATATTTCTGTTGGAAGGGACCTACAGCAACCATCCAGTCCAACTGCCTGACCAATTCAGGGCTGAACAAAAGTTAAAGCTTGTTATTAAGGGCATTTTCCAAATGCCTCTTAAACTCTGACAGACTTGGGGTACCAACCATCTCCCTAGGAAGCCTGTTCCAGTGTTTGGCCACCCTCTCAGTAAAGAAATGCTTCTTAATATCCAGTCTAAACCTCCCCCGGAGCAGCTTGGAATGATTCCCACACGTCCTACCACTGGATGCCAGGGAGAAGCGACCAGCACCTCCCTCTCCACTTCCCCTCTCAGGAAGCTGTAGGGAACAATGAGGTCCTCTCAAGCTCCTTTTCTCCAGACAAGACAAACCCAGAGTCCTCAGCCACTACTCCCAGGACATGCCTTCCAACCCTTCCACCAGCGAGGCTGCCCTCCTCTGGATGCATTGAAGTACCTTAGATTTGTTTTTAAATTGTGTGGTCCACAATTGCCCACAGTACTCAGGGTGAGGCTGCACTAATGCTGAATACAGTGGGATAATCCCCTCTTCTGACCATCTGGTCCTGCTGTGTTTGATGCACCCCAGGATGTGGTTTGCCCTCTTGGCTGCCAGGACACACTGCTGACTCCTATGGGGCCTGCTGCCAACCAGCACCCCCACATCCCTTTCTGCAGGGCTGCTCTCCAGCTGCTCCTCTCCCAATTCATGCTTGGGCTTGGCGATAAACTGTCCCAGATTCAGAATCCAGCACTTGATAAAGTTCATTCCGTTAATAATTTCTGATTGCTCCAATCTATTCTCGATCCCTCTATAAGGCCTCTTGGCCCTCAAGAGAGTCAACAGCACCTCTCAGTTTAGTAATAACAGCAAACTTACTAATGGTACATTCAACTCCTGCCTCCAGATCAGTGACAAAAATAGTAAGCAGAACTGGACGTAGAACTGAGCTCTGAGTAACAATGCAGGTGATGGGCCATCAGCAAAATACATCCCCATTCACTACAACACTTTGAGCCCTAATGTTCAGCCAGCTCACCACTCAGAGCACCACGTACCTGCTCATCTCACAGTTGGACAACTGTCCAGAAGGATGCTGTGAGGGGCACTATCAAAAGCCTTCCCATAATCCAGAAAAGCTACATCCACTACCCTCCTTTCCTCACCAGGTGGGTCACCTTGTTGAAAGTTTCTAAAAAGCCCTGAAGCTTTTATGTCTGTTAACAATACCTATGGTTTCATCCTAAGAAAATCTTTTAAAAGGGAACTAGGAGGTTTGTATCTAAACCATAAATTTCTTACGTGACCATGCCAAAAATATTTCAGCCACAAGTTCAAATTGAAAGCATGTGCTGCATCTATTCCAAATTTCAGAAATAAGATGCAGCTGAAAGATGCAGCAAAATTACAAAAGACCATGAGGTTTAACCTTCCTGTTTACAGTAGTTTACAGTACTAGAAGACAGCGCACCAGGTTCTAATGCAGAACAGCAGTCTTCCTATCATCAAACCCAGAACATTAAATAATTGCCACTTATCCAGAAAATAATTGCAGTAGATGAAAATTTCCTTCTCCTGCAATGAGAGGCTTTTATTTATTTATTTGGCCTTTCCATAGTACTACTGAGAACTCCAAATCCAACAGGCTCCTGTTAGGAGGAACAGGAACACTGAGAAATGCTCTTCTCCATTTTCACTGTCTTAAAAGATTATGCCATTTCCTTTAAGATGTGATATCATCATGATATGCCTTCTAATGAAAATAAGACTTAAGGCTGCTCAAGAGTGATGTGTAAGAGCAATGGAGCAATCAGGGTATCCTAGTTCACTTGGACTGTGTGTTCTTACCAAGTGCCTCACACAGACCACCATCTTTCAACTACCTTTCTGGAACAAATGATGTTTGTACAGGTCACATGAAGCACAAGTATATCCAACTACAATGAGAAATACATAGAGAACTTGCTGCACAATGAATGTGCTTTATGCATAATCACACATTTGGGCCTTGCCCAGAAGAGTTCATGAGAGAGAACAAGTAAAACTGCAAGGACAACAAAACGCAGTGACAAACACTATAATTAAACATCAAAGCACATGGAGTTATGCAGTCAGTGGTTTGCATGAAAAAATTAAAGGCAGCTGACTGGTAGTGCATACTTTTTAAGTGCCCTTTCCATAAGAAAGTGCAAAATAGACAGAAGTTTACTGAATAAGAAAGCACAAAAGTAAGATGTTTACTTCGAAGAAGGGGCAGTGAACAAATCTGGTAGCTCAGCGAGACAAAAGTTTGCAAACAGGAGAGAAACAACCCACAGGATGTGCAAAATTAAAGTTCAGGTGAACTGAGGGACGTTGGCAGCGAGAAGCCCACCTGAAGACAACAGGAGGGGAGCCGCCCGACCCCGACAAGCGATGGTACCGCTGCCGTGCCGGCCCCAGGCGGCGGGGAGGGGGGAAGGCGGCACCAGGAGCTCCCCAGACACCTCAGCCGACGGCCCTGCCCGCCGGCCCCCACCCGGGAGCCGAGGGCACCCCGGCAGCCACCGTCACCGGCCGGCCCCCCCGCCTCCAGCCAGCGCGTCCTCACCGCACGGTCCGGATCACGAAGTAGACGATGAGGGTGGCGCTGGCCAGCACCAGCACGGACAGGGCGCGCTGGGTCATGGGCTGGCCCTGCTCCGGCGGCGCCGACACCTCGGCCTGGCGGCTGCTGCTGCTGCTGCTTCGCGTGGCGGCCCCGCCGGCCACCTCCGTGGGACGCGGGAAGGCGGTGGCAGCACCGGGGGGGGAAGGGGCCGCCGCCACCGCGGCCTCCCCGCAACGGGCGGCCAGCAGCAGCCCCGCCAGCAGCCACGGCAGCGGCGGCGGCCACATCTCGCCTTCTCTCCCGGCCGCCCGCCGCGGCCTACGCGCGGCCGGGCCCTGCCGCCCTCTGCCCGCCGGAAGCGGAAGCGCCGTACCCTCCTCACCCGCCGCCATGGAAGCGGCCCCCCCCAGCTGCCGGCGGGGAGACGGGCGGGGGAGGATGGGGGTTCCCCATGGCTCCCGGGACCTCGCCGCACCGCTTTCCGACCACCCGCCGGCAGCGCTTGGGCTGCGGGGCCTGTGGCCGGGCTCGTCCCGTCACCCGTCGGGCCCCGCGGGCGCCTGCGTGGGCTGGGGTTGCGTGGGGTGGGTTGGAGTGGCGGCCCCTACGACCGCCGGCTCTGCCCCCCGCTCGGCGCTTTGGCTTTCAGAGCTTGGGGGTGGTTCCGGTAGGACAAGCTGGTGTGGGGCGTGGGTTTTCTCGGTCGTTGAGGGGCCTGGTGGTGCAGGGCCGGCTGTGTGGTCTGCTCGGCTTTGCCTTTGTGCACAATGGTGCGAGGAAAGATAAGCAAAAGGAGGGTTTGGAAAGCATTGGGGCCCGAAGGATAATACAGTTTTTGCTTCAGTTGAGGTGAAAGCGGTGGGGAGCTCAGCAAAGCTGGCTGTGTCTCAGCAGACCACAGCCACAGGCGGTGTGTTAGGAGCTGGTGGGCATTCATGAAGCTGGGAGACTGGACCCTGCCTTAGGGTAACACTTTGTACAGAGTGAATCTGCCGTATTGTTCATTATGCTTGTGTCATACGCGTTCCTTAAGTAAAAGCCGTTCCCGTAGGACAATCCTTTAGTCATTAGAGTCTGTTATTACTTTCTTTGGCTCCTTTTTTGGTGAATGGCAAATTGTAGCAAGGCTTTCAGGGGTCCAGTGTGCATGTAGAAGAAGAGGAAATCCGCATTGGCAGTGAGCTCTTTTTCATTTGTCACCATGTAGAAGGAAAGGGATAAAATGCCAGAGTAGTAGGAAGGCCTCGTACAGCAATATTTCTGCTGTTGAAGTAATGTGGGTAACAGCTAGATTTTGTGTGTGAGCAGACTTGTTTTGATATCCTGGAGGCCCTACAGTTTTCAGTTTATCAGTCATATTGGGTCATGCAAAATCACATATAGATAATTTCAGCAGTTAATAAACTATTAACAAGTTAGTTAACTGGGAAAACAGGTTGAAGGTTTTGTGTCACACAAGCAATGAGACATAATTTGGAAAGGGTGAAACATTTGAATAGCATGTGTGTCATTCAGCTGTCAGGTGTATGTCTTCACTGAATTTCACTGAATTTTTTAGAGTTGGAAGGGACCATAGAGATCATCTAGTCCAACTCCCCTGCTGAAGCAGGATTGCCCAGAGCTAGAGCATGTTACTCAGGACTGCATCCAGGCGGGTCTTGAAAATCTCCAAGGAAGGGGACTCCACACCCTCCCTGGGCAGCCTGTTCCAGGGTTCTGTCACCCTCACTGTGAAGAAGTTTCTCCTCATATTTGAGTGGAACCTCTTATGTTCCAACTTGTGCCCGTTGCCCCTCGTCCTCTCACTGGGAACCACTGAAAAAAGTCTGGCTCCCTCCTCCTTCAACCCTCCCTTGAGATACTTGTAGGCATTGATAAGGTCTCCCCTCAGCCTTCTCTTCTCCAGACTAAAGAGTCCCAGCTCTCTCAGTCTCTCCTCATAAGGGAGATGCTCCAATCCTTGAATCATCTTTGTTGCCCTTCGCTGGACTCTTTCTAGTAGTTCCCTGTCCCTCTTGAACTGGGGAGCCCAGAACTGGACACAGTACTCCAGTTGTGGCCTCACCAGTGCAGAGTAGAGGGGGAGAATGACTTCCCTTGACCTGCTGGCTACACTCTTCCCTATACAACCCAAGATACCATTGGCCTTCCTGGCCGCAAGAGCACACTGTTTACTCATTGTCATTTTACTGTCCACCAGGACCCCTAGATCTTTCTCTTCAGTAGTTGCCTCTAGCGGGTCCACCCCTAACCTATACTGGTACCTGACATTTTTCTTCCCCAGGTGCAGGACCCTACACTTTTCCCTGTTGAACCTCATGAGGTTCTTCTTTGCCCAGCTCTCCAGCCTGTCCAAGTCTCGCTGGATGGCAGCACAGCCCTCAGGGGTGTCAGCCACCCCTCCCAGTTTTTGAAAAATCATGGTCCTTTTGTGGGAATACTGTTTTGGATGCTTTGAACAACACTTTGCTTAAGGGAGTGTATGAGTAAACTTTCCTGGTAGCTTTTTTCATGGTTTAGAACTTTGGTAGAGCTTGACTGATTCAGGTCCCCCCACCCGCAAAATCTATCAGCCTGCTTCTTCCCCATTAATTCTCCTGAGGTGTATTTCTTCCTGACAAGTCCAAGTAACTGCCTTCCAGCACAGTGGCTGATGATGAGGAAACTGTTACATGAAAACTTTTTAGGACATCAGTCATTAATGTTAAACTGATCTAAAGAAATGCCAATGACACAAGGACTGTGTAAGATGTAACAGCGCTGGGATACTCAGGGGAATGTGGGGACATTGCATGGTAAACTCTACATCAGGTGTAAAGTGTAAGGAAAAAAAAAAGTGGGATTGCCTCTGTCAGTGAAGACTATATCATGACCTAATATTCTCATTTCAGTGTCCCTAATTGCAAAACTACCCTCTTAAAACTGAGGGTGATAACGCTGTATGGCCAGGGGAGATTGTTTTCTGAAGTTTTTTCCAAAATGAGAAGCTAGTGCTCTTATTTCAGCAAGGTAAGATAGTCTTTGAATTTTCAGAACAGAAAACAAAAGTACAGCAATTTGTGTTATTTATTTTGAAACAAAAACAATCTTTGAAGTCTTTCTGGATGTCTTTGGTGGTTTTTTAATCATTGAAATGCATAAATTTGTTTAGTATTCAAGTCAGGTATAAATAAACTTCAAGTTTGTATGCAAAAATTTGCTTTGAGAGAGCTATAAGATAATTCCTCAATGAAATGTGACATAACGTTGAACCCGCATGTGGAAATTGATTTGACAGTCTTGTTTAAGTGTACCTGCTTTTTAGTAATTGTTGTCTAATTTATTGCTTGAAGCCAAAACAGGAAAGAGAATTAAAAACAAGTGGTGACATTCTGTGATCATCCTTGTACACAGCAGCATTTGAAAGAGGCATGTTAGGGTTATATTCCCCCATTCTGTGTGTAAATTGTAAAACTTTTCTCACGAAAGAATGAAAGAACTTTCACTTTCATATCGTAAACCCGAAAGGTGAAAGAACTTGAGTGCTAGTGAAAGACCCTGAAACTGCTAAATTGTCCATTAAAATTAATGGAGCTTACTTGACTTTTACCTTTGAGAAAAACAAAATTGGCCAATTTTTTTTGAGTTCCTTAAGATAGGCCTTGTAGATGAAATGAAAGAGCAGAGAAATTACTTTGCAAGATTATGTGAGTGTCAAGGATGTCTGGGAAGGGGCCTTTTCATCAGGAAATGAAATGGTAATTCAGAGAAAGGCACTTAGGAGCTCTGTATATTCTTTCTTTTTCTCGTTTTGCTAGTTCAAGTAAAATGGGTTTTCTTGTGCTTCCTGATACTTGAAGCGACAAAGGGCACAGCACAAAACACAGCTATTTCCTTTTCCTTCAGCCCTGTCAGTCTGTCGATATCATCCTCTACAAAGTCCTTGTGGAATGACTTCCAGATGATCTTGAGAAATGAAGAAAACAGAAGTGACCATGTTCCTCTGCTCTGATAGGAGGCTACTGAGGTGCCAGCTGTCCTCTGCCCCGTAAGCCTTAAAACCTGAATAGCACTATCCAATTCTACAGCTCTCCAAACCACATTCTAATCACTATTGTTTATGCTGTCTGAGGACAACATTGTCCAAATATGTCTATACTTGCCCTTGCATAGATAGAAAAGGCCAGAGGTTAATCTGTCCCTTTTCTTCTAATGATTCTTCTATGGCAAAGGATTGCAGAAGAATATATTCTGCAAAGGATTTTCAGATACATTTTGTAAAAAAACACATATATAACTTTTCTAAAAAAAGAAGAAGAGATGCATTTTACATTTATATACTGTCAGCTGCAGATTGGTCTCTGACTGCTTTTTAGAATGCTTTTTAGAATGCAGCTGAGCACCTCTTTAGATAGGTGCCTTTGGGTCTATTTGGGTCTATGTAATTGTTATTTTAAATGTCTTCATTAGCTCTGGACCAAATTAATTCAACTGTTGTATTTAAAGAAAACTTTGTGTGGTTTCCTGGATGTAAGAGTGGTATCTCGAATCTGAAGGTAAGGAATCTTTCCATAGTTTGAGAAAATGCTGTCTACAACCAGGTTTCAAATGATGTTTTGGTGGTGCACACAGAGGAGATGTGGAATGGCTCTTTGCAATTACAGAGCTAGAGACTATCTAGTATCATTGAAGTAAAACAATTCTATGGTGTTCTTGTCATGATACTCCTGCACAAAATGTTTATCATAGTTAAAATAATTTCTTGTATTTCTGACATTTTTGACAAAAATGCCTTGAAGGGACTGAGAAATCTCATCGTATTTAGTGTTACATTTTCATGTTTGTTACCTTTTGTCCTTGTAGTACCAAAAGGCTCCGATAGTGCCAGCATCAATTTCTTGTGCTCAATAATGTGAAGTAAGCAAAAGGACAAAAGAATGCTGCAAAAAGACCCCAAGTCTCTCTTCTGCTTTTTATTGTAAACGATGAACATACACTTAGGAATATATCACATAAGTTTAAATTATTTTTGGAATAAAATGTTTGGGGTGATATTTGCTAATAAAATCACAGCATTTTATGCACTCTGTATTTTGCTTTCTTATTTTAAGCAGGAGCATAATAAGTGTTGGCAATAAATGTTGCTCTTTTATAGTGCTTTTGTAAAATTGGGTTGCGAGATACAGTCTGCTTTTAGTATAATGGCAAATTGCTGAAGGTAGACAAGCTACTTTAATTTGTTTCAAAGAAGAAATCATTTTATGTACAACTATAAAAAATTCAGTAGTTTATAGCAACAATAAATTGGCTTAAGGATTTTAAAATGAGTTCTTATTACTAGTCTGAACAAATGTTTCCTTGAAAAGGTTTCATCTATAGCAATGTCTTCTAGTATTCCAGTGATCAGTATTTTTTTCTTGCATTTATC